GTGTGCGTGTGCGTGTGCGTGGGTGGGTGGGTGTGTGTGTGTGTGTGGCGCGCGGGTGTGTGTGTGTGTGTGTGTGGAACCTCAGACTTGTGGTAGACTAGTTAGGATGTTAGAACCGAAGAATCAGGACTTGTCACCTGTATAGTACAGAGTATAAGTGTTTAGCAAATGGCACAGCGCATATCCTTGCTTATATTGAGTACATAGCTGACCGGTATAGTAGGTAATAGGTAGTCGATGGTAGCTAGTCAGCTAGTAGATGAAAGATAACCGACTATCGACCATCGATACAGTATGGAGTATAGAGTAAAGAGCATACAGCACAAAGTCTCGATTGCAGACCATAGCACAGCACTGTCTTGGCACTAGGATCAGTTTCAATACCAGCAATAGTTACTGGCATTTCTCTGAATATGAGTATGCGTGTTAGCATGCAATATTCGTATTCGCACCGGTGTTTGTATTGGTAGCAGTCTTTATCGTAGTCCTAGAATTGTACTAGTGCCAATACTAGCATTAGTATCGGCACCAGTACTAGTTACTAGTCATAGAAACAGTATTCGTAACAATGTGTATCCGCATTAAAAAGTATGAGTACAAGCGTAGTATAGTAAAAGACGAATTCAGAGATGATCTAACTAGCTTTTTCAGGCCGCTACATTCGATGCTAATTATTACCCGCAACCTTAAACAACAGCAGTGCAGGATGGAGGTCTTCAGGGTATCGGGTGTGGATGAGGGCGTCGGTTTTAGGGTGTAGGGTTTGGGGCTCAAGAGGCTTGGGCTTTGGGGTTTCGGGAGATTTTTTGTTTCGTTTGCATTTGCGCCGGGAAGCTGTTCTCGAACGGCAGCGGCATACCCTTGCATCTTTGCAGCACACCTGCGGCCAACGGGGCAAGGCATGCAGCTGCTAAAGAGTCTCACCCTGAACCAGAGACCGAACCAGTGGGGGCGGTTTGCTTTCTTGTCGTGGCTCACGCCAATGGTCTTCAATGGTTTGCCCTTAAACAAATCATCTCAGAAGACCGGAAGACTGAGAGAAGTCCCTCCGAGAACAAACCACCGAATGTAGTGGACAAGCATGCAAGCCCAGAAGCCTCGTGCAACATCGCGAAGCTCAAACAAAGTGGCCATCATGGCACGTTGAGTATCTACATGTACCTACACAAGGAGAATATGGCACACAGTGATTCAGCGTTTGAACCACCGCCGTCCGATCCAGCCGCAAGCACTGCGACTGCTTGCAGGCTTGTTTAGCATGCGGAAGCTGTCGGCGAAATAAACCCTAACTCAGCAGGCATAATTGTCTGGCTCGGGCACTGCACCCGGCCCTGCAACTGAAACGACCATTGGGGCTTGGAGTTTAGGGGCTTAGGGATGTGGAAGCCTAAGCCCTAAACCCAAAGCCCCTGAACCCTAACCCCTTAATCTGGACCCCAAACCTCAAAACGCCACGGATTCTTGGAGCCTGGTCGCCCCTTCTGCGGAAGCACGGCGACAAAAGCAACCTGCAGGTGGGAATAGTGGTGGGCCGCTAGGTCCTTGGAGTACACATGTCACAACAAGCACAACTTGAACGTTACACCAACCACGAGACATGCTAGCACCCCTTCTGGTGCTATCTGGTGCCCGTACTACAACTACATGGTATGCAGTCTCTTACTACCACCACTGCTTCTGCGAAAGCAAGAATAATACTAATGCGAAAAGACTCCTGCTACGACTACTGACTACTGCCACTTCTACTCCCACGGCTGCGGCTACCACGACCACTACCACCACCACCACGACGACGACTACTACTACTTCTTCTTCTTCTACAACTACTACGACTACGACGAATGCTACTTCGACTACGACTACCACCACCACTACCACTACGACTACTGCTTCTTCTTCTTCGTCGACTACAGTTATGGCTATTGCTTTTCTTGTATCCTGAATACTGCGCTTCGTGCTTCGCTTTATGCCTAACTCAGGAGCCTTAATCGTCAGAAAAAGGCCTTTGTAAGGGGGGCTCTTTGGATGGTTCTGTAAGGACGACAACAACGGCTTGTTTCGGGAGCCATAACACTTAGAATAAGATTTTGTGATATCCCTGCCATCGGCACATATATATATATATAAGTAAATAAAGAAATAAACAAACAAACATATATATATATACATATGTTTAAAACAGTATAAGCCAGAAAGTTGGAACATCCTTATCCTCGCTCCCTTAAGGTATAGTAGAGGGAATCCCAGCACAAATCATCCTGAATCCATGTTCCAATTTATATATACATATATATGTATATATATATATATGGTCAGACCCCCCCCATGATCCACACGAGCCTTCTTGCCATCTGTTCGTCCACAATCTTATGTTTCCCAATGCTTTCTCCGAGGCC